AAGGGGTTAATGTCAAGGGTCTTTTAAAAGCTGCTCCTGCAAAAGAAGAAGAGCCACAATCATATATTGATTGCACCGGAAATTTGCAGGTATTTTTTGCATTATGTATATTTCTGTGCGTAAATGTATACATCTCTAGAACATGTGCATGGTGTTGGTATTCCTGTTTCCCATGACTTTGCTCTCTCTAGAGAAAGAAAACACATTGATTACAAGTATGTCCATTTATAAGTGCAGTCTATTCTTCTGTATAAATTATATGAATTAGAATTTGTACTTATTGTGCAACTGCTTATAATGGTACTATGTTAATATTTATTGTGCATTTATAAGTGCAGGCTTTCTCCTCCTTTTCTGACATAAATTACCACTATTAATTCAGGGACTTCTCCCACATTGTTGTTGTCCACTACCTGGAATTAACGGTTAGAGTTTATGATTTATCCTATCACTTCTTTTTTTTCCCTTTCCTGTCAGCCATCTTCTGAAATGAACTTATGAATTTTATTTTATACACTTTGCTTTTTACTTCCTAAGAAAATCATTTGGCTGATGCAGTTTACAACCCAAATTAAACTGAAAATTTGTTGTTATATTTTTCTTATGGGAATTGACGTTGATATATCACATCATTCTTTTACCTTTTCATTTGATAAGTCATGTCATTCTTTGATAGGACTGTGCCAATATATTTGATTCAACCTCAAAAGATTTTTTTGAGGATGTTGCTGAAGGATTAGAAAAACAGGTATTTCACATATAACCTCCAGAAATATGCTTAAAATGGTCTCTTTTACATGTTGCTTCGTCTTTTATTGTTAGGATCAAGTTCTGACGTATTATGGATTGTTAGGATCAAGTTCTTTCTGCATATAATGTTAAACTGAAAATTTGTTGTTATATTAGGTCAATTTAAAGAGCACAGTCTTGAACTGATTAATAGAATTGGCACAGCCAAATGCTATCTTGAAACATGGATGTACTACATAATTTGCTTATTCTTTTACGTTATGAACTGGTAAACTACAAGTTCATGCATTGATTGTATTCATTTTCCCTTTGTTTTTCCTTTAAGATTGCGAAATTCTTGCAATGGAAGACATAATTTTAATTGGCATATATCGTTGATGTCATTCCACCTTTAAATGGAATCACACCCATTCCATTTTTCGAAATTAATGCCCTTTCTAACCTTTCATTATCAATTTTGCTTTACTGGACTTTCCTGCAAAGATGTGTTTGATCTCTATTCTAGCCTAACTTTTGGTTATCTATCACATCCTACAGGGAATGGCGTGGCTGGAATTGTCCTTCCTGAACAGGAAGAGAAAGTGAT